CAGCAGCAACCGAAGGACATCGCAGCACGTTCCAGTGCACCGCAGACCACGACCTCGCTGACATGGTTCGACGCTTCTGGGAGCAGGAACGCGAGCCAGTGGCTGGGACACCGCTTACCGCCGATGAAGCCAGATGCGAGGACATCTACGTGCGCACGGTCACACGCACGTCCAGTGGAAGATACATGGTGAGGCTGCCATTTACTTCACCGCCGCCGACATCGCTCAGCGAGACTCGTCGACCTGCTGAACGCCTACTGGATGCCATGGAGCGGAAAGGAGCACGAGATCGTCGTTTCGGTGACCTCTATCTAGACTTCATGGAGGAATACGAGAACCTACAACATATGGAGAAGGTTAGCACAACTACAACAACTGGCAGCCCCAGGTGTTACTTACCGCATCACGGGGTCCTCAAGGAGTCAAGCACGACCACGAAGCTCAGGGTCGTGTTCAACGGCTCCCAGCGCACACGGTCCGGAGAGTCGCTGAACGCACACCTCCTCACTGGAGCCAATCTCTTGCCAGCACTCGCTGACGTCCTACTTCGTTGGCGTTGGCATCGGTACGTGCTCGTCACGGACATCGAGAAAATGTACCGACAAATCCTCGTGCATCCGGAGGACTGTCGCCTGCAAACTATCCTGTGGCGCCACAACAGCTCTGACGACGTCCACGAGTACGAGCTGAGGACCGTGACCTATGGGCTAGCGTGTGCACCCTTCCTCGCCATCAGGACTCTTCATCAACTCGCAGCAGACGAAGAGGCACGATATCCACTCGGAGTCAAGGCACTGCGACACGACTGCTACGTCGACGACGTGGTCACCGGCGCCGATAGCTTGGAAGATGCTATCGACCTTCAGCAGGAACTACGGAGTCTTTGCACGGCGGGCGGATTTCCTTTGAGAAAGTGGGCCGCCAACGATCCTCAGGTGCTCACAGGAATTCCACCAGAACATCAGCTGCAACGTGGGCCGCACTCATGGGAAGAAGAGAGTCACGCTACCCTGGGCCTCCGATGGCATCCTCAAGGCGATTGGTTCTCCTTCTCAATTCGTCCACGTCCAGTCACTGATCTCACAAAGCGACGAGTTCTAGCCGAAACGGCTCGGCTCTTTGATCCGATGGGTTGGCTCGCGCCTGTCGTCATCAGAGCCAAAATTCTGATCCAGACGACGTGGCTTCAACGGCTGGATTGGGACTCTCCGCTGCCTGATCAGGACGCACACCGCTGGAGGCAGTTGTTGGATCAGCTTCCTCTATTGGATAACATCCGTGTAACTCGCTGGCTCAACACCGGAGACGACCATTCGCAACTGCAGCTCCATGGGTTTGCCGACGCTTCAGAGCGAGGATACGCCGCCGTGGTGTACATCCGCAACGCTGCAACAGAAAAAACGTCAATCAACCTATTGATGGCAAAATCGAAGGTCGCGCCTGTCAAGCAGGTGTCGTTACCTCGCTTGGAACTCTGTGCAGCAGCTCTACTTACCACGCTCATGCTCCACGTGCGCGCTACTCTCGGTTTGACAACGACGCCGGTGCATCTGTGGTCAGATTCAAGGGTCACACTTCATTGGATCCGCGGACACAGCACCCGTTGGAAAACCTTCGTCGCCAACCGAGTATCTCAGATCCAGACCCTGCTTCCAGACGCTCAATGGAGACACGTCGCTGGACGAGAGAATCCTGCAGATTGCGCATCGCGCGGTGTTACTCCTGCTGAATTAATCAATCATGAGTTGTGGTGGACAGGACCTACCTGGCTCTCAGGAGACGAGACTGCATGGCCGGGTTCAAACATCGACGTCCCAGAGGATGACCTCCCGGAGCAGCGAGCCACCAGTCTGGTAATCAAGGCACCGGTCTCGGCAGAACCTGACCTCCTCCTCCGGTTTCCAACGCTGCACAGGCTGCTGCGGGTTACGGCATGGTGTCGGCGATGGCTCAATCAGGCGAGACGTGACGCCATACCTGGCCGTCCATTGCATCCGGACGAGCTGGACGTCGCCTTATTTCGATGGCTGCGAGTGGTGCAGGCGCTCCACTTTCCTACGGACGTAGCTGCGGCTTCTGCTGGACGCACTAGCCCACCACGAAGCCACCTAGCGATGTTGAGTCCGGTCCTCGATGATCAAGGCGTGCTGCGCGTCGGAGGACGTCTCAAACATGCTCAGCTACCACTCGACGAGAAACATCCAATGATCATCCCGGCGGCATCATGGTTGACTCGGCTGGTGATCGATTCCTGCCACCGACGGACGCTGCACGGAGGTGTGCAACTGACTCTCGGCCTGCTCCGCCTGCGCTTCTGGGTGCCTCGAGGAAGGACCACCGTCAAACAGCAGCTACACCGATGCATAACCTGCACTCGATGGCGCGCCGCCACACCACAGCCTCCGATGGGTAACCTTCCTCGGGAGCGAGTAACGCCAACTCGACCGTTCCTCAGCACCGGCTTGGACTACGCGGGACCAATCCTCCTCCGGACCAGCAAGGGGCGTGGACACCGTGCGCACAAGGGGTACATCGCAGTCTTCGTCTGCTTCTGGTCAAAGGCCGTTCACTTAGAAGTCGTCTCAGACTACACCTCGGAGGCCTTCATCGCCGCTCTGCGCCGCTTCGTCTCCCGCAGGGGCCTGTGTGCTGAGATCTACAGCGACTGTGGCACGACTTTCATCGGAGCAGATCGGACGCTGCGAGGTCTCTTCAACGCAGCGACAGCCGAAGGTCAAAGTGTCATCCTTGCCGCCACCGCTCAAGGAATCCGCTGGCACTTCAACCCGCCAGCGGCCCCGCATTTTGGTGGTTTATGGGAGGCCGCCGTAAAGTCGACCAAGTTCCACCTCCGTCGGGTGATCGGCGCGACCACCCTCACGTTCGAGGAGTTGAGCACACTCCTTGCACAAATTGAAGCCTGTCTTAACTCACGTCCGTTGCAGGCACTCTCAGATGATCCAGAGGACGTCTCGGCGCTGACCCCCGGTCACTTCCTCATCGGGACACCGCTCCTCGCCTTGTCAGAACCGTCATTGACAGAGCAGACGGTGTCCACCTTGTCACGTTGGCGTCATCTGCAGCGGATGAGGGATCACTTCTGGCAGCGATGGTCATCCGAATACATGCACGGACTCGCCCCACGCACCAAGTGGCTCAAGGATGCACCTGCACCCCACGTCGGCGATCTCTGCCTCGTTCGCTCCGAGATCACCCCCCCGAACCGCTGGCCCCTCGCTCGCATATCGCGTTTGCACCCCGGGGACGATGGAGTTACACGCGTAGTGACGATCCGAACGGCCACGTCCGAGCTCGTGCGCCCACTCGTCAAGCTCGTGTTTCTTCCGGGCGTGAACGACGTTCCTACACCGCACGTTGACACATAGCATCACTCACTACACGATCATCACGTCATGCACCATATCAACTGTCACACTTCACTCATTTCACTCATCACCTCACTATAACACTTGTCTCGTTTTCACCGTTCACTGCATCATTCACTCGCCGTTCACATCTGCCACATGCTTTCGCCGTTTCAGCTGATCGATTCGCAGCACGTGATCACCACGTGTTTTCGTCGACTCAGCTGATCGACTCACAACACGCGATCATCACGTGAATTTCGCCGCGCCGACACGAGCCCGCCCCACCATCAACCGCTATCGGAATGTGATCCGCGCCGGAAACATCATCAACCTTTTGTCACGTTGCGCCAAGGCGGGCGGGATGTTTGAGATGCAAAATAAATCTTATCGTCTGTTAATTACTTCGGCAGTAAAACGTTATTAGGATTTTCAATTTATACAAAATTCGATCTCGAAAATAGTTATTTGGTAAATTCTGGAATCATCGATCAGTAATAATAAAGTCACGTTTGTTTTGTATAATAGAATAAAAAGAAGTCGTAAATTTACAGCTGTCACATAAAAAACGCTCAAATATACAAACAAGTAACGGTGTCGCAACCGTTCCGCCGAATAATTACATGCTATTGAGCATGCGCTACTTTAAAAATCACGCAAATTATTGGCGCTTCACGCGAAGGTGGGCTCCGCTCCAAAATTTATAAAAGAGGAGCTCACCCCGGCGTAGGAGCCTTATCGCTTTCCGCCGTGTACGCGTAAGTCAAAACCGCCTCAAAAAAAACCGCAGAACATTTATATCGACAACCGCCGCTCTTTCTTTTGATTTGATTTCTCCGCTGAAACTAATTAAACTTTATGTAAATTTTGTGCGTGTAATTGTTAAATATTGTACATTATATTTTAGTAAAGATTCGTATATTAAAGGTTTCTTTATACTACAAGTGACTCATCCTTTGTCGTGTCGCGCGATTCCTCACGCAGCGCGTTCGCGAACAACATGAGCACGTAAACTTGTCGCCTTTTTTTACCTTTTTTTTATAAAAGGTAAGTTTTTTATGGTTTTAGAAGACGTGCAAGAAGATCAAAAGAAAAAAGAAGAAAAGAAGATCAATAAGAAGAAAAGAAGATCAAGAAAGAAGAAACGAAGAGCGAGAAAGAAGAAAAGAAGATAAAGAAAGAAGAAAAGAAAAAAATTATAAGGCTGCTGTGCGCCTGTTGTGTTTTTCAAAAAACGGCTGCTGTGCGCCTAAAAATAAGTGGCTGCTGTGCGCCCATACAAGGCTGCTGTGCGCCTAAAAGTAGTGGCTGCTTTGCGCCTATAAAGAGTGGCTGCTGTGCGCCTATAAAAAGTGGCTGCTGTGCGCCCATACAAGGCTGCTGTGCGCCTATGAAAAGGAGCTGATGTGCGCCTTTAAAGAGTGGCTGCTTTGCACCGATAAATTATTACATATTTAAAACAAAAATATATATATATATAATAAAATGTCTATAAAGACAAAAATATATAGAATTTTATCTCCTGAGGATAAAAATATAATTGTTCGAGGTGAATGGTTAACTGATAAACATATGGAACATTTTGATTATTTATTACAAAATTTTTCGGATTATAGACCTGTCGAAACATGGCGATTACAACTTCTTGGGAGTATATGTGTATTGACACATATATATTCTCCCACGTCCAGTGGGAGCATTTGCGGCACAGTGCCACAAATGCTCCCACTGCAACGGGTAGCTGCCAAAGGCAAATTCTCTAAATTCAACACTCGTGAATTGGATCCCGTTGTCGGTAACTAAATGTCTCGGTAGTCCAAATCTACCTAACATCTTAAATTCCGCCAGCACCTTCGGTACCTGAGTACAATTGTTCATGTCGACAATCTCTGGCCACTTTGAATGCGCGTCTATTATAAGCATAAACATATGCCCGTGAAACGGACCTAGAAAATCGCAATGAATCCTACTGCAGGCTTTATCCGGCCACGGCCAAGGTGTTAACGGTACATTCGCAGGTTTTTTCGTTCTTGCGCGCAAACCGAACATGCCGCCGTTACTAATTCTATATCTCTGTCAATGTTCGGCCACCACATATATGACCTCGCTAACATTTTCATTTTCACAGTCCCGAAATGAGACGCGTGTAACTCTCGCAACACACTCTCTCTCATTCTTTCTGGAATAACTACTCTGTATCCCCACATTATACAACCCTTTTCTATTATTAATTTATCTCGTTTTGTAAAATACTTTTCTTCGCTTTCATTTAGTTCTTTCGGCCACATATCATTTATATATTTACTAATCTGACTTAACGTCTTATCGCGCTTTGTTTCTCTCGCAATCTCCACCGCATTTAGTGTTTCGATATTTTCTTGCACATAATTTATCGCTGTGTATTCATTCTCGAACACTGGCATTACATCGCTTATCGGAAGCCTCGATAGTGCATCACAATTACCGTTTTGTGCTGATCGGATATATTCTACCTTGTAAGAAAATCTTGATAAGAAGTAAGCCCATCTCTGCAATCTACTTGCTACTGTTAATGGAATTTCCTGCTTCGGGCCGAAAATATATACTAAGGGCTTGTGATCGGTTCTCAAAACGATATGTTTCCCGTATATATAATTGTAAAATTTTTTGAAACCAAATATAATTGCACTTGCTTCCTTATCAATCGGTGCTCGATGTAATTCCCCGTCCGAAATGACCTTGGACGCGTAAGCTATCGGTTTCTCAATACCGTCGGCGTATTTATGTGATAGTATCGCTGATAATCCGTACGCCGAGGCGTCGCACGCTAAGATAATCTCTTCTTTCGGATCATAATGCGCTAACACTTTTGACGATGTTAGTTCAGTTTTTACCCATTCAAAGGCTTTATCGCAACTTTTGGTCCATTCAAACTTACTTCCCTTAACACACTCGTATAACGGTTTTAGCATTTCCGCCCTGTCCGGCAGAAATCTCGCATAATACGTAACTAACCCTATAAAAGACTGTAATTGTTTAAGGTTTTGCGGCTTCGGTGCCTCACTCATCGCTTTTACTTTAGTTATGGATTTATGCAAGCCATTCCTGTCGATTACGAATCCGAGAATGTCTAGTTTTTCTTTAAAGAAGTCGCATTTCTTAATATTTACTTTAAACCCACAACTTCCCAGACGATCAAATACTTCCTTTAATGTTTGGAGATGCTCTTCGTCAGTTTCCCCGGTGCAGAATATATTATCTAAATATGGGATTGCGCCCCTTACACCCGCCAAACACTGCTCGATTTTCCGTTGAAAATCTCCCGGCCCCGATGCTATACCTTCAGTCAGTTTCGTGTATCTATATAGTCCTTTGTGCGTTATTATCGCCAAATAGTTCCGAGAACTCTCTTCTACTGGAATTTGCATATACGCGTGTGTCAAGTCTATTTGCGAATACGTTTTTCCATTTCTTAACGCGGCGAAAATCTCATCTATTAACGGCAAAGGATGGCGATCTATAATCAGCCATGGATTTATTGTTAATTTAAAGTTTCCGCAGATCCTGACCGATCCGTCATTTTTTATTACCGGCACTATAGGAGTTGCCCATTCGCTAACTTCAATTTTCTCCAGATGCCCTAGTTTAACTAATCTATTAATTTCTGTTTCGACTTTTTCATTTAGCGCGAATGGTAGTCTCCGTGCTTTCAATGCTACCGGCTTCGCACCTTCTTTTAATACTAATTTCAGCATACCTTTATTATATACTCCGAGTCCCGGACCAAACAACGTGGGATGCTGCCTTACAAACTCATTTCTTACGTTCGCTACATCCATCTTATGTATTACTCTTTCGCTAACTAACTCGCTCTTAATCGCTAGCGGCCATAACCCGAGGAGTTTTAACCATTGCCTGCCTATTAGCGTCGGCCCCGCTCGCGACATTACTATCATATTTGCTTTAACTTCTTTTTTGCCTAACTTCACGACAAGATCCTGTAATATTCCTTCGTGACTTAAAGGTGTTTGATCGTATGCATTCAACGTTTTACTTAACTTTTTCACCTCTAGTGTCGGAAGTAATTTATTTTTATTTTCCCTCGATATTATCGACGCGTACGTACCCGTATCGATCTCCATATTTACGCTTTTTCCGTTTATCGCGACGTTTACATACATAGGTTCCGCTATGACCTTGTCCCCGCTTGATTCTATGGTACCGCATGTTGATTCCTCGCTGTTCCCTCCTAGCTCGAGGTTAAGAAAGTCGTATGTCCCTTTGTCCTTCTCTGCTCCTACGTCAACATGTTGGACGTCTTCCTTCTTCCTTCGGCACTGCGTGGCTAAATGACCCTTCTTATTGCAGCTTGTACACGTTTTATGGCGATGGAAACAGTCCCGCGCCCAGTGGTTCGCCTTCCCACAGCAGTAACAATTTCTGCTGCCTGTTGAGCTTTGTGACGATGGGCCTGTGTTTCCATTCGCGTGTTTTGCATTTCCGTGACCTTGTTTACCACGATAATTATTTCGCTGCTTCCCGTAATTCCAATTCGGTTTGGCAACTGTGCAAATTGTATTAACATTTGTTTGCGCTGCCGTAGCTGTATTAAGTTTATCCGTGGACGTGGCATTCCTCTCGGCTTCCTCCGCTGCCGTTGCTATTTTATACGCCTTGTCGTATGTTAAGCCTTCTTCTCGAAACAACAGTATCTTTGTAGCATGGTCTTTTATTCCACATACCAGTTGATCTCGTAGAGCTGTTGCCGCATCTTTGAATCCACAGTTTATTGACAATCTTTTTAGTCTCGCCGCGAATTCTGCGATTGATTCCGTCGCCGCTTGTTGCGCTTGGTGGAACTTACATCGTTCCATCGCTTCCGATGGTTTCGGGCATAAATGGTTTGACATCAACTTTATTAACTGCTCATACGTTTTTGTTATAGGCTTATCTGGTGCACACAGATCTCTTATCAATTTATATGCTTTCGCACTTATTTTAGTTAATAACACTGGCACCTTCTTAGCGTTTTCCACGTCGTTCGCCAAGAAATACAATTTTAAGCGTTCGGTATACGTTTCCCAATCGTCCTTGCCCAAGTGAAATTCCAATTTTGAGTTATTATCGTTTGCCATTGTGTGAGTTGCCTTCCCTTTGGAATGCTTCTCTGTGTTGTCACTCTCTCTACCGTTCGCCGTCATCTTCGCGCTACCTTGATCTCGTACGTGCCGTGCCAATACTCTTCGCAACGTATCTATACTATCGTTTTCCTTGAAAACTAAATCGCCGTCTACTGAAGCTGCCTGCTGGAGCTTCTCAATTAATTGCGATTTCGATAGTTTATAAATCCACGATGTCGGCATTTATTAGACACCGCACTTTCCCTCGGTTATTTGCACTCTTTTTCTTATTAGCTTGCACTATGCGTTCACTATTTTTCCTCGTCGCCAAAATTGTTATGTCTTGAGGTGGCGGGGTAAGACTATACACCGTTACACGCCGAATACATCGACTTGTTTTGGTGACAGCTCAGCGGCAACTGCCTTATGCTGGTTATTCGAGGTGTAGGATAACAACAACGTCGATCACCTTGTCGACCTACCTATCGATACATTACAATAGTCATCTGAAATTATACAGATTCTTTGATTATTCTTTAGTAATACGTTTATTAAGTTGAAAATAGATCAACAAAACAGATCTGAATGACTAATATACACTTTATAACATCTGATAATCATTATTCAAACTCTAAGTCGGTAGTGAAACATACATTGTATTGTTTTACTACTTATTAAGCATTTTGCTGTGAATTCTTATAGTGTTGTGTTGAAATATTAAAATTTTTAAAATATTTAAACACTAAATAAATCAACTTACATCTGTATGATTGGTAAAATATTTATAAAACTGAATGGTGAATTGATGCTCTTATACATCTTAATCTGGGACGGAGTGAGATTTAGCTGAGATGCTGAGGCCGTTTTCCTGGTGATCCTGGAGCTGCTGACGTACTGGAATTCCTGGGATTTCTCAAATGTTCTTGGTAATCTTACGAAGCCTTCCATCACCTTGGAGTTCTTTTCGCTGCGTAAAGATAAGTGAAATCATTATACACATACGTTTTTATGTGATAAATAGAGTGATACATAATGACATGTAGAGCCATTTGCATATGACTGCGTAATTTCTTAATGAGCATAAATTAAGTAATTAATGGATTGTTGCAACTTTACATATTCAGACTATAACCAATAATTATTAGAAATCTGGATCTAAGAATATTATGTGAGAATATAGTTTTGATATATATATACACATATATATAAATAAGATAGCCTTATAATTAATCAATAATTAAATATACTTTGAACTCACGTCATCCCTAAAGTGCCAAATAAGTGACTCTCTTTGCGAGGTTACATTTGTGTTGATGTGCCTGAAGTTGCGGTAAACCTAGATACAATCCAGATGACTTATTGACACTTGCGTCACTGTGATGCGAAGTATCTTTTTTTTGGAGGTTACATCTAATACTCCTGTATCTTAAAGTGGTGTGCCTCTTATCGTTAATTACAATGATTACCATGTATTATTGACTTCCGGCTAATGCATGAGGAAAACACATATCCTAAAAAAATCATAAAAATGAAAAGGTCAGGCCATGTTCAAAAGAAGGTACTCAAAAATTTAAACAATCTAATAATAAATTATCACGAAAAGTAACTGATATGTTATTCAAGGTGCCAGTTCAAAGTGAACATACGTAAAGTGTATATTATCTAAATTTAGTAATAATATATTACCATGAAAAGTAACTGTGATATTTTATTCAAGGTGCAAGTTCACATTGAATATACATAAATATAAGTAAAACTGATTACAATTTGATTCTAGAAAATAAGTGCGATATGTTATTCTTAGTGCACAAAATATAATAGTCGTTTATAGAGATTTGATTTGAAATTCATACTAGCCCGTACAATGAAAAATAATTGCTCGTAATTCCAGAGTACCAATTTGTTAATGACTCAGAAAAATAACATGGCGGCCTTCTTCATCCGGCGATTTTCCTAATACTGGAGCATCTTTTATCCAAATCATACAATGCATGTGCTGAATACCTCTACTTTGATATTCCAGTCGCCAGAAGTAATGAATAACCTTTCCTATTGGATTATCGGACGAATAAATAAAATCAATCATGGCTTTGAATTTTATGCACATGAATCTAGAAGTACTTACAGGATCGTATGCGACTAGTTCGCTGATGCCTAACTTCTTTTTATCGGGATTCATATCTCGTAAATATTCACCCAAATCGGACCATTTCTATTCACTAGGACTCAAAGTCAAAAACCACGTCGCTGGACCGTAATGCAAAGTCATGCATTTTACATTATTGGACGGTTGTCGCCAAAATTGATCCGTATTTCTCAATTTTGCGAAAATACTCATTAAATTCGATTCTAATTCGTAACCTTTCAATTCGTTCAAGTATCTACCAGCAGTGTATCTCTCTCGTGAGTTAGTAACCATCATCGTATAATAGATACCACTTTTCAACTGTCGGTAGTTAGCATCATTGAGAAGGAAAAACAGATACTGCAGATTCAACCTGAATCTACTATGTTTCGACATCAATCGTGTTCTAATAAATAAATATTCCGGCAATGCAAAGTTTCTATCTTCTCGTTGTCCACCATCAGGATATAAATCAGGGAAACACATGACATCCAGATATTTATAACGATTATCCATTGGAAAATCTTCAATTTTCATCATTTGATAAAGCTTCAATGCAGATTCGTTATCGATTCTTTTCGCGTGTATTGGGTATATTGTATACTGATCGTTAATATCCGAATCTTCAGTGATTTGTGTGAGGAAAGCCCTACGTTTTAAAACGATTTGATCATTATTATTTTTGTTTTCCTGTACATTGTACAAATTCAATGCTGGTAATTTCTCAACCACCTCATTTATTTCGTCATTGTCGCTTTCGTCATCGACAATCCGATATTCTGTTTCCTGCAACTTATCATTTAATAGATCATTAGATGACGCCGGAAGACGAATTTTCGAGTAATGAGGATTATTTTCTTTCAACCATTGTAAAGCCTTATACACTTTATTAATATCTACCAAATTTTCCCAAACCACTTTAGATTTCTTGGGTATACCTCGAACGAGAATGTGCAACTCGTGATTCAAATTTATAGGATCTTCCGGAGGACATACCTTATCCAATGTTTCTTGTAAAGATAGAGGCAAATGAAATGTTCTACCTTTTACTTTGCGGATCATTTGTCTATGCGGTATATGTTTGTTCGAAACATTGCCCATCAATTGCACTACTTGAAAGCTGCTCATTCTCTTGATTAACATTTTTTCGTAATCACTGAAATCTGACAAAACATCTGGTAATGGTTTTACCGCAAGATTATTCAAAATGCAAGTAGAAGGCAACACGCCTTTTTGAAATTTACCCAAACAAAGCTTACAAACGAATTCAGTATTATTATACTGTGTTCTGTTACGTTTGCTATCAGATCTTTCCAAAAAGGTCCGTCTATTGTTTTCCTCAGCTTCTCGAGCTTAGAAACGTCTCTTCTCAAGCATAATTTTTCGCAAGAGATGCAAGGGATACGTGGTAAATCCAACAATCGCTTTTTCATGACTTTAAATGCTTCGTAATTTTGCGAGAAAATCTTTTCCTCGTCCAAACAAACATCAGTTACATTTTTTGGATAAAATCTTGCTTTATTCTTAAAATCATTGGAAATTTCAACTAATTTATCCATATTGATGAATCTCAAAGATGAAAACAGTTGACAAAACTTATTATAATTGTCGATCAATTTGTAAACATTTCTTCGAATATTCCTCACGAAAGAAAAATGAGGTGATAAAGTGTTTATCATTGCAATGTATGACTTGCAAAGATTCGGATTTGTATAGCATTCCGGAGGATGTCCTAATCTGCTACTCGTACGTGAAACGGAACAATTTTTTAGCTGCGCCATGAATTTAACATTCATTATCTTTTTCAAAGTACCTTCTTCAAACAGTTCCAAAAATTTTACAAACTTCCATGGAAGTATCATTTATGTGGCATTTGTTCTCATCACAATGCCACATTTTTAACTTTTTACCATTGTTATCTGTTAACGGCAAAACATTTATTACTCCGTGAGGAGAGGATTGTCTCATTATAAGTGGTTGCTCAAACTTTTTCCTTTGCTCATAAGCAGTTTCATAAAAGTACGCTTCGGAAGACGAAGTATGTTTGGATAAGCCACAAAGAGCTCTAAGTTGATCGCTTTTTGGATATTTCAAAGTCTTACATTCATTGAATCGCAATAACGCAGCTTCAGCAACGTTTTTCAAATATGAAAACACTTTTCTTGCTGCATTGAGGTACAATTTTTTTGCTATTACACACCACTTAAATATCTGTTCGGCTTCCAATCGAGCACATATTGTTGATTTATTAATTTTTCTCGACATCTGTTGAATATAAAACTCTGAATATTTTGGAAACTTAAAACACTTTTGCCAAGATCAAACGGTATTAAATTTTTCCTTCATTCTCTTAAACATTTTCCATCTTTGTACGATAGACTTCTCGCTACGTTTTGCATTGCACCTCTTGTTGTACAATTTTTTTGAGTCGAGTATTTTTGTCTGAATTTTCGTTGGCGGTCTCTTTCACGGGCAGCACTTTTTAAATAATTTTTTCTTTTGACGTACCTTTTATTTTCTATATCTTTTTGGTATTTGCCCCGCTTTCTTTTACGTATTCCCTCAAGATCTTTTTTATATATATCACGCATTTTTTGACGCTTTGTTTCAGGATCCTTTTGGTACTGATCACGCACCATCTGAAGTTTTGTTTCAGGATCCTTATGGTACTGATCACGCACCATCTGACGTTTTGTTTCAGGATCCTTATAGTACTGATCACGCACCATCTGACGTTTTGTTTCAGGATCCTTATGGTACTGATCACGCACCATCTGACATTTTGTTTCAGGATCCTTATGGTACTGATCACGCACCATCTGACGTTTTGTTTCAGGATCCTTATGGTACTGATCACGCACCATCTGACATTTTGTTTCAGGATCCTTATGGTACTGATCACGCACCATCTGACGTTTTGTTTCAGGATCCTTATGGTATTGATCACGCACCATTTGACGTTTTGTTTCAGGATCTTTATGGTACTGATCACGCACCATCTGACGTTTTGTTTCAGGATCCTTATGGTACTGATCACGCATTATCTGACGTTTTGTTGCAGGATTCATAAAATATTTTTCTTTGTGAGAAGAAGCATCTTTTTCGATTCGTTTCGAAC